TCGTAGATATCTGAGACGTAAGCTTCGCACATCTGAGGGTCAATCAATGGGTCGTCCGTCTTCTCGGCAGCAAGTTCATGTTTTTTCGCTGCTGCTATCACTGCTTTCACAGCTTTCTTCACCTTCTTCGATCCACATTTTGTCTTCTGAACAAGATCAGATCCCACCTTCGGATTCTCCAATGAAGCCGCATTACTCGAAATCTCACCCAACACGACCCTCTTTTTGTTCGCCGGTTGAAACTGAGATCCAATCGCCTCCATGGCCCTCTTCTTCGCCTGGCGAGTAACTCTAACACCATAGTTGTTCTCCTGGTCTGCCATTGTTTAATAATCTTTTGACCCACGAAACCAGGAGAGAGATTCGGAGATTGATGGTGGTGAAATGTGATGAGAGAGTGTAAGTAATATAATGAAGGAAGGTGCCGCCATTTTCAATCTGATTCAAAAAAATTTGAGGTTTTTGCGAATGGAGGGGCGAAGGGTGTTTTAGTGAAAATTTTGAGATGAAAATTTTGAAGGGACGAATGGGGAGTTGACACGTCAGATGCGGGATCAGCGATTAGAAATTGGTGAAATGCGCATGGCGGCTATTTTCATGGGTTTTAAGACTAAAAAATTGAAACATGATTTCGATTTTCGATTGTGATTTGAAACGCTAAATCACGCGCCTTTCGCCAATGTATTTAAAAGGAAATAACCTTCACAAAATTTATGCTTTTGATTATTGATGTTTTGCAAGTTTTACAGTTTGGTCCCCAAGAACCGGATCATTGTGTGATTTTTTATTTTTTATTTTTTTTCAGATTTCTATATTTTTTTAGATGAAACTTGATAAATTGTCATTTCGTTTTCATAAAATTTGAAGTTTTGTCTTTAATTTTAAAAAACTTTATGGATGGTTTTTATGGTTTCAAAACTTTTAATGTTTAGTCCTTATAGCTCACTTTGTCAGTATTTGTATGTTAAGTAAATGCATTTTCATCATTTCACTACCTATAACCATGATTGTCAAAATCGTAATTCTGATCATAGGATCGTACGATCCTACGATTCTAGGTATGAAAAACGATCCGGATCATAAAAGGATTATATCTGGGGTAGGATCGTCAGATCGTAGGTATGATCGTAGAATTGAGATCTGATCCGATCCGATCCTACCTTTCTTTATTTATTTAACTTTTTTTTTTTTGCAAATGAATTTTTTTACCACTTTATCTTTTACCATTTACCAATTTACCATTTATCATTTTGTATTGTACCTTATGGCTAATATTTTGAAGTTTTTATAATTTTTAAACGAAAAATTGAATGTTTGAAATATTTTTCATGATTAAAAATTATAAATTAAAATTATATTATATTTCAAATATATTATTATATATAAAATATATAATTCATATTGGAACAAAGCTTTTTCTGTTTCTCATATGCATATGACACGAGAAACCATGGAGTTAATATGTACAAAACTGACTATACTCCTAACAAATCTAAACTTGATCGCGATCAATCAGACATGTGTTTTCTTCGAATTCTAAAGGCACCATTATGTCATTCCGAAAAAAGAGGACAAGTGATCAGTAGCGAATCTAGAGCCGAAAACCACATGGTTCCTTATGTAAATGAAACCGAAAAAAATGAAAGTGTAATAAATACTAGTGGTTGCAAATCGAGCCATATGACTTAAAATATTTAAACATAACTTCAATAGTTATAATAATGTTCTTATAATTGAACTTACAAGGTCTTATATTTTGAAATATATTCATAATTATATCATTATCGATACATCTAAAACATTTGTTTTCAATATACGACACTAAACTATCATTCAAAATTGATCACTTGTTTTGTTGTGTATAGGGCATGAGGGCAGAGGAGGTGGCGCCTTCTTGTGGTGCGACGGTGGCTAGTGGACAGCGGGAATGATCAACCAGGCGAGAAACCACATCAAGCATTCAATGTTAAGAGATGTCGATCACGATCAAGGTTCAAGCATCTCTTAAGAGGTTTTTTCGATTTTTTTATTTAATTTTAAATGGGTTAAGCTATTGGGTAATGAATAACTATTAAGTGGATTGATTCATTGGGCTACACTAAGTGGACTAGATTATATAAAATATGAGTTGCATACATTTGTAAACATTATAAGGTAGGTCTTTTATAAATTATATGGTAGTTCTTTTTTTTTTTTAATATAATCCTTCTATTATTATTAAGAAAAATAGATTGGTCCTAGGACCCACCTTCAATCAACATAGCTACGCCTCTGCAAGTGATGTTTTGGTATTTTAACCATTTCTCGATGCATGATTTATGGAAAACGTCTCCACATGAGAGGTGGTTTATCTTTGCGCGTATGGTTTGAATTCAATCAAACAATGGAACATTCTTGTTTGTTGAGGGGAGAAAATAGGAGGGATTTGTACCAGAGTGTTGGTGTCTGGCTTCTTAACTCCTCTGTGTAACTCATTAATGGTATTCCACAGCATTCGAGTGACTCTATGAAGCTTTGACCGAGAATCTCATCCCACCATGAGAAACGAATCCCGACGAGATTAAGGATGGAACGAAGGATCCCCTTCATGAATGATATCGACATGGCGGTTTTCATTAAAATTACACATAAGATTCCGGCATCGAAAGGTTTTAAGTATGGTGAGATACCCATATTGATGTTTGAACCTGTAAATATCATACAAAATTTATCAAACATTAACCGATTTTGACAAAAGAAATCATATTTGTTGCATAAAGATGTAAAAGTATTCATGTATACGATCAAATACTCATTCAAGTATTCCATATTCTTTTATCTGTTGGGAGGGATGGACAATTATCGTTTTAATCCTATTAATTTTAGTCAAAGTCCAATACGCCAAATAAAATTCGCCATGTTCTATCCTAGATGGAAAATGGAAAACAAGGGCTTAAAAATATAATTTAGTTCATTCTAACTCTCCATTTCAACAAAAGTCAAAATGAAAAGTCCTTTTTCATCTTAGTTTTTTTACGTATTGAATGTTGCTCCAGAACTTATACTTAGAGAGTTAGAGATTATCTACCACATGTTGATACATGGAATTACAAGTCAAAAGCCATGTTTTGAAAACCGAACCGGACCGGCCGGTTCGACCGGTTCAACCAGGAACCGGTCCCGGATCCGGTTCTTAAAGGCCAAAAAACCGATATACATTTGAACCAGTGAAAACCAGTAAAAACCGGTCCTGTTGAACCGGTCAAAACCGGAAATTTTATAATTTTTTTTTTCATTTTTTGTATTTTTTATATAATTAAATATAATTATGACATTATCCGGTTTTCCCGGTTTTTGAGACCGGTCCAACCGGTTGGACCATCTGAACCATCGAACCAGTAAGACAATCGGTTCAGTCTCCGATTCGGTTTTCAAAACATTGGTCAAAAGTCACAATCATACGTTTTATCTTGCATTGATTTCGGAAAATAAACAGCTAAATACGGATGCACATGAACATAAACAGTTAAGCAAACACACACGCATACACATTGAGAAGCAGAATCTGATGTGAAAAAAAACAACACGCACATTAAAAAAACGCAAGAAGAAACAAAGGATAAACAAACAATTTAAAAGTATGTTTTCTATAAACTTACTGAAAGGATTGAACTCTGTGATTGAATAGACGATTTTCCACTGTGATGATGTAAAACCTTGGAAACACGATGCTGTAAACTCAATATTTCAAGAGACAGTGATAACAAATGAATTAGAATTGAATTATACATAATACGAAATTTATTAAAACGATTTTTGGAAATGATATCAAAGTTTGATACATTCCTTGCAAAAATTACGTGACTGAAGCAATGTTTGAAATGTCTATCCAAATTAATGTTATTTTTAAAGGGATTGACCGAATTTTGGTCATGATAATTAGGAAAATTTATTTGAATTTAATACATTTCTTGCAAAAATTACGTGGGATTTAAAGGAGGTATTCACTTTCTTTAAATTGAGCCAAATTCATTTATAATATCTTTACAGATTTAATTTAAAAGCCAAAAAAATTAGAATTTACCAATTGGAATTAAAGGTAATTGGAAAAATAAAAAAATGAGATGATAACATGTCTTTTATTAGGGTAGAGATACATCAAATCATAGCATTTTTTTGAAATTTGTGTAACAAGGTGAAGCAAAGTGCATTAGATGTTAAGCTTGTGGATTAATTGTTGGTGAAAAATGTTCCCCTGTTCGTGCTACGATTTTAACCGGTATGCACTCAGGTTACCCTTGTGATGGATTAGGGCTAAATAGGTTGTTTGGTATAAGTTTTGCAATTTGGGGTTCTTTAATCATAATATTGTACATGTAATTTATTATAGACCATCATCGATATCACGTTTATTTATTTATTTCGTTTTTAAATTCGAAGGTTCAAGTCATTTTCAAGACATAAATAATATTTAAAATAAAAATAATAGTCAATTAAAATTAGTTTTAATAAATGACAATAAACATAACGGGCCATTCATTTCATTGGGTTTTTAAAATATTAAAATTGTTGCTTTTACTTATTAGAAGAGACAATGGAGTGAATCCTCTTTATTTGCATTTGTGTGGTGCACTCTCGATTTTTGAGAGGGGTCATCACATTCTTAGCAATAAAAATTTTAAGATTATTTAATATAATAAATAGCTTCAGACAAATAAAACAACAAACCTCACAATTATAATATAATAATATAAAATATAAATTGTCTTTTAGAATAAGAATTAAACAAACACACACATATATATATATATATATATATATATATATATATATATATATATATATATATATATATATAAAGTAAATCATTTTATTTGAGCGCACGCCAATCTATTCAAGACCTACGTGGGAAGTCAACCGTGAAACAATAATGATATTTTTGGTGTGTCGAGTTCACATTCTGCGAGTAATTTCACCACTCAACCATTAAACCCCCATCACGGGGCTAAAAAGATATATAATCATAACTGCGATAGTAGATTCAACATTATAGGACGTGGTTGGCACATTGCAACCAAATGTATAGTCTTTGCCAAAGCTATTCCAATTCCTCCATTCATGTCAACCTTGGTATCACTTGTTCTTCCCCATTCAAAGCATTGGATAAGAGACCCCAATGCCAATCCAACCATTCGCATTGCCATGTTTTCTCCCGGACAACTTCTCCTTCCAAATCCAAATGGCAATAACTTGAAACCATCTCCATAGACTTCTACCCCTTCAAACCTCTCTGGCCTAAATGTTTCAGGATCTCCCCAAATGTTTGGGTCATTTTGTATTCCCCATGCATTCACTAATAACATTGTTCCACGAGGGACATGATAGCCGCTAACCATGCAATCCTTTGATGACTCATGAGGAAGCAGGGGTCCGGCTGGGTACATCCGCAAAGTCTCCTTTATTATACATGCAAGATAAGGTAAGTTAACCATGTCTGATTCCTCAACACAACGACCTTGTCCGACATGACTGTCGATCTCATTATGTGCCTTCTTTAGAACACTTGGATTGTTCACTAAAAGAGACATTGCCCACTCCAATGTGCATATGGATGTATGAGTACCTCCTGCTAGTATCGTCTATGAAAAAAAATTAAGTCAATGGATGAGTATTAAGAACTATTATTGGAGTAATCGTAAAAAGTTCACTGTTAATTGATAAAGAGTAGTTTGGCTCGAACAAAACAAAAATGGAACTAATAATTAATGTTGACGCTAAATTCATATATATTCTTAAAAAGTTTTCAAGATAGATCTTAATTAACTTCAATTGATGCATAAAAACTATCACCGAGTTTTTTATGCTAACCAATATAAATTTAAGGGAAATCTTTAGAAAAGTCTTAAAATTTTAGTCCAATTTATGAAAAAGTTCCAAACTAAATTTTGTTTATAGAAAAACACAAAATACCGGCTAAAACTTCAAAAAAAAACATTTTGGCCGGTTTCGTAGATTTAGGCGGTATTCTGTCATTTTTCGTTAGTTTGCTCAAAATATTAGGGTTTTTTTTTTTTTTTTTTATTTTTTAAATTACCCGATAACCAAAATATTAGGACTTTTCTGAAAATTACTATGAAATTAATGGATATTATTATTAACAAATCATTTATAAACATAACAAATATTTTTTTATTATAAACAAAGAAAATACATTTGTTTCTAATTTTCTAGGAATATAATGATTGACTAGGTCTATTGTTTGTTGACCACTTCAAACTCCTTACGTTCCTTCTATGTATCGTTGTGGGTGTCATAGTGAGATGTACTATGTACGTTTCTTCAATTAAATACAAGAGTTAATAATATTTATTAATACACAATCAATAAGTGTCTACTTTCTATTAGGTGTGGCGCTATAGGATCACATGTTATTAGAAAATATTATTACATAATGATTCTTGAACTTATAGATATTTCATTATGTTCTTTAACCTAATTACCACCTAACTTCCATATATTATTCGGTAACAACCATCAAATTACACACATAGTGAGAAATAAACTTTGAATGACAAATTAAATAGATAGTCACCATACACTTGTTTCCATATAAACTATCATTCATGATTCACTTTTTCATATTTGATAGATATGTGTTAGCCTATGATTGTTATCGTGTTAAGTATGGATGTTAGGTGGTAGTTAGATTAAACAACATAAGAGAAACACCAACATTAGATGAACACTCATTGAGTACATCTCACCATCATACCCACAACGATGGATAAGAGGAACGTAGAAAGTTTGATGTGGTCAATAAGCAATAGAGGAGTATTTAGACCATCAATTTATTCCTAGAAATTAGCAAGTATATTTCGTTTTTTATAATCAAAATATTTGTTATGTTTATAAATGATTTGTTAATAATGATATCCATTAACTTCATGGTAGTTTTCAGAAAAATCCCAATATTTTGGGTATCATGTAGTTTCCGGAAAAGTTCCAAAATTTTAAGCAAACTAATGAAAAAGACAGAATACCGGTTAAATCAGCGTAACCGGCCGAAAAATGTTTTTCGAAGTTTTAATCTGTATTTTGTGCTTTTCTGTAAACAAAATTTAGTTTCAGACTTTATCATAAAGTGGACCAAAATTTTAGGATTTTTCTGGATATTTCTCTTTATTATATTAAAATTTATTAGAAATATTAATAATATATATCTTTTTATTTTGAAAAATTAATTATGTATTCTTAAATAAACATAAAAATAGATAAAAGAATATTTTACATAAAACCAAGTCACCAACGTAATGCAATATACTAGATCACATATACGAAAGATGCATGGTTGAAAATAAAGTTGAACACTTAACATAATATAACACTATTTTTTATTCCAAGATCAGTTACCGCAAAAATCATAGTGGATATAAAATTTTAACAACCAATACCGACTACCGTACCAAGTATATTTGATATCAACTTGTTTAACTATCAATAAGTTTGGTTGGTATAACTTAATAATTGTATTTTGATTTATAATTTTTTATTATAAGATTTAAAACATCAAATAATTTTGATGTTTAGTAAATAAGTTCGCTGGCTATTTTTATTTAATTTACTTGGTGTAATATTGAAGGAGTAACTTAAATTTAACATGACTATAACTATGGGGCTAATGGGACAAATGACTTATAATATGCCCTTAAAATTCTAAGCACTAAATACATACACTTCACAATTGAAATATAAAAATTTATTTTATATATATATATATATATATATATATATATATATATATATATATATATATATATATATATATATATATATATATATATATATATGGAAGGGTTATTTAGAAAATAAAAAACCCTAAAAATCATAAAAATATATAAAAAAATACTTAGAGATCACAAAACTTTTTTTAAGTTTTTTTATAAAAATCACAGCTTTCTATACAAATTCACTGAAAATTTTTTTGAATTCTTTCTTTATAAAAAAATTGATTTTTTTTTTTCAGCAAGTTTTAAGAAAAAGTTGCGATTTTTTAGAAAAAAAATTCATTTTTTTTTGTGATCTCTAAGTAGTTTTTTTTGTGTATTTTTATGATTTTTAAGGTTTTTTGTTTTCCATAGAACGTAAACCTATATATATATATATATATATATATATATATATATATATATATATATATATATCCCTATTCTAATAAATAAATAGTTTTAATCTTTTTTGTCAAGTGTCCATTTAATACAACTCCTTATTAATATTATGTCATGTGCCATGTAAATATATTAGACAATTCATTTCAAAATTCAAATTTATATTTTCTAATTATATGTTAAATTTAAAGTTATAATAACTTTAAAATTTTGATATATCTCTTAATTAATAATTTTTTAAAATGATTTATTTTAAATAATTGATTATTAATTATAAATTTCTATTATGAAACAGTTATAAGCTTTTATATATATATATATATATATATATATATATATATATATATATATATATATATAGTCGGTTTAATATTATTTTAACATTAAAAAATTGTATTATTATGGTACACGTTGATTACATAATTAGTAGTACGATAATACTAATCAAACAAACATATTGATTACTATTTTTTTTCCCCGGCTATTAAAATATTCATATGACATATGTAAAGTTAAGAAGTGGCTTAATAATATATTAGATTTGCGGTTTATTTATTTATTTTATTATTTTCTTTTTGACAAAACCTCACACGTGGTTAATGTTGTTTTTGAGATATAATGTCTAAGTTTTTAAAAATCTCATAATGATCCCTACTGTTTCATAACTTATAACAAACGGTCAATTAGGTTTCAAAACTTCTCACAAATAGTCTTCCCCCACATAAATTGAAGATGATAGAACAATTATTGAAGTTTATAAAATTTAATATATTATGGATGACTTAAACTTAAATAGCACATCCAGTTTAAAACAAACAATAATATATATTAAAGAGAACAATTATATGGGTCGATTAATTAATACGAATGAAATGAATAAAGATGGATAAAATTACGAAGAAACCTAATCCAAATTAAAGTTATTTAAGAAGCCGGGTTTACAAAGACAGATTCTAAAACTCACTTAATCTTAGGTTTTTTCGCTTTTTGATAAGATAAGTTTGATTGGCCCCTCAAATTATCATTTAAAGTTATGTTGGAAGTAAGGTGATTGTTTGATGACATAATATATATATATATATATATATATATATATATATATATATATATATATATATATATATATATATATATATATATATATATATATATATATATATATATATATCGAGTTAAGATGAAATATAATAGTAGTATAATACCAACATGTAAGTAAATCGATTCTCATTAATTACCAGCATGATGCTACGAATCATTTCATCGGTGTAGAACTCTGGTTCCGTTTGTTGCAAAGATAGCAACACTTGAATCATATTCCTCTTGCCACTATTCTTCATGCTACATCTTATCTCCTCAACAAGCTCCTTCATGAACAAGTCTCGCTTTGCTTGCAAAGCTATCAATTGCTTTTCCAGTTTGCTTACTCCTAACCACCTCAATATGGGCAAGTAATCTCCTATATGTGAAACACTCATCGCACAAAAAACCTCCTCCACTATCTTCTGAAACCGATGTGCCTTCTCCTTCTCCTCATCCGTCAATATGTCATCTTTCCCATAGTAATACCTCTTACCAGAAACCATCCTCATGACAGCGTTGAGCGTCAGGTCAATCAACATAGCGTTGACTTGCACTTCAACCGCCTCCCCAGACCAAGAACGATAGAGTTTTCGTATCATGAGGCGTACTTCATCAGCACGTATGGGTTCAAACTCACGAAGCCGATGAGATGAAAGGATTTCTAGGGTGGTGACACGGCGGAGGTTCCGCCAGTGGTCACCATAGGGTGCATACACGAGGCTGTCGTAGTTGTAGCCAAGGTACTTCCCTGCGAGAAGCTGCCGAGGGCGGTTGGCGAATATGATATCGTTCTTGGTCAGACATTCTTCGGCGGCGGAGGGAGAGGACACGACGAGCACCCGACGTGAGCCAATTTGCAGGAGTTGGACTGGGCCGTATTTTGCAGAGATTTTAGCGAGGGATTTGTGAAGCGGTCGTTTTAAAAGGTAGAGGTGGCCGATTATGGGTAGGGGAGGAAGCCATGGCCTTGGTGGGAGGTTTTGAAATTTGCGGAGGAAGTAATCAGTGATGGCATAAATGGCTAAGAATGTTAATGGGATATAAAAGTAAAACGCTTCCATTTCTCCCGTGTACATTGAACTATCACACACCTCTTCCTTTTATATCTTAAAAAACTAGTGAGATTTTTGGCCGTTATATTTATCTCAAACTCAAAATACAAAACTATATCATAGTAACTCTAAGACATGAGCATGTGCTAGGGATCTTTCTCTTATTTTATTTTACGTGGGTTCTTACCAGTCTTTTCATCACTTTTCTTTCCCTTATCTAAAACTTAAGAAATGAGTGGAAGCTCCCCTCATTATTTTTTTTTATATATTTTTGTAAATATATTTCATACATATATTATACTCATTTTGCAGAGAATTAAAAACTATGAATTTTGATATATTTTTTATATTTTTTAGTAAGTATATAACTTTATAAATATTAAAAAGGTTTAAAAAAAGAGTAAATTACTGAAATCATCCCTATGGTTTGATAAATTTGCACGTTTGATCTTAACTTTTATTTTTGCACTCGGATCATCCCTATGGTTTGATTTTGTTGCGTTTTTCGTCCCCTAAATATATAAAGTTATGGACCAAACGTGCAATTTTAACCAAACCATAAGGACACAAAAAAACGCTACAAAATCAATCCATATGGACGATTCGATTCCAAAATAAACTTAGGGACCAAACGTGCAATTTTGACCAAACCATATGGATGATTTTAGTAATTTACTCAAAAAAAAATCGTCCAATAGAATGAGGAGAGAGAGTGCGGCACCCCCTCCCCCAACCCCTTTCCGGCGGGAAGCTCTCCTCAGCCACGGTGTGGTGTTCCAAAGTGAGGGAAGGTCTCCCGCTCCCCTTTCCTGCTCCATTTCGTCCGACCTAATTAGGTGTGAAATCCGTTTACTACACATACAACAAGAAATAAGTCCTTTAGGGACGACGACTTTAGCGACGACGCCAGCCTTTAGCAGTGGCACCCAATTATTTCGTTGCTAAAGAACTATCTCATCTCTAATTTCGTTGTCGCTAAAGGGGGTAAACCTGTGATCCATTTGTGCCACATGCCTTTTAATCGCCACCGTAGGTTGTTACAGTGATCCATTGGTCAGGGTATCGTCTGGTGTCAAGTAATAGCGGTGGCGCTAATTGCGACGACATGTTGCCGCTACTGTTATTGATCCGCGTGACTTTAATCGTGACCCTTTAATTGTTTTTAGATCGGACGGCTACTAGGCACCAGATAATGGCGCCTGTTTTACCCTCCAACGGGTCGCCGCTAAAGTATCTGAGGGCGAGACACTGAAGTGTCTGGGATAAGGTATTCAAAAAGTGGGTTTAGAAGCCTATCCTTGAAATTACTCTCCCGTTGTCCGGTTTTCTATTTCATCTGACGGCGAGAATGATTAAAAACATCTTTACATTTAACTAGTAAAATAAGGTTTGTATTATGTTGTAATCAAATCATATATATATATATATATATACACACACACACACACACACTAGCCGTTTAACCGCGCCAAGCGACGGGTGCGAATGTATTGCTAGTTATATTCAATTAATAAATTAATTTGTTTTGGGAAACATGTCATATTAAGAAATGACACAATGTATTGACATGTATAACTAAACATTAGGTTTAATTCAAAGATTCGTTTTCTTTTAGACAAACAATGTACTTTGATGTATTGGTCGTTTTTGTGTATGTTGGATACATGTTTTCATATGTTGGATCCATTGTGTCGAAATATATCATTTCGAAGTCACGATAATATATTAAAAAAAGCATTTACTTCATTGATGTAAATTTAGAAAAAAACATAGTTATTTGGGACAATGCAGCACATTCAAGTGAATATTTTGCATTTTTTTGTGTTTAAAAATGAAAACATGTTATTTTTGTTCAAAAATAAAACTATATTGTTGTTTTGAAATTACAAATAAACGCTACATCAATAAATGTACCGGCGTAACATGGGCTGATTATTTCATTTTCAAGACTCATTGTCTTTTGAACAATATTTTAATTCCGATGGTTATGTTTTTTTATTACCAATCGGGGGAGGGGGGAGGATGAGATCCGAATATCACCAATTTCAAGTGTTAGAGAAGGATGTCCCGAAGACGACCTCCCGAACTCGATACGGACACTACTAATCCGTAGTGATACCCCTCGGATAGGACCATACGCCCGTAGTACTCATGAACTTAATGGATAGGGCACACCATTCTTACTTGGACCAGTTCGTCATTAACCTTGTAAATGACTTACTTATCTACCCTCGTAGTAAGAAGGAAATCATAAAGAGCATCTACAACAAACCATGGAACCAATACGATCAGAGAAGCGTTGCGCGAAGTTCTCTAAATACGAGTTTTAGAATTGAAGAGTCAAAATTTCCTAAGACACACTATTAGTGATGTGGAAGTTCTTGAGGACCCTTGCAATTTATCAAAACCGTTGAGAATTTGTCAGCACCAAAGACGTTGTTGGGAATTTGCCAAATTCTAGGTCTTGCATACCTACTATAGTAGTCCGTTTAGAACTCCTCGCAAATTTCGGAACTTCTTACAACTTTGACCTAGGAGGGAGTAACCCTTGACTGGGAAGAGAAACAAGAGAGAGAAACCCTTGGAACTCCAGGCGAGAGACCAAATTGTTTTGGAAGTCTCACTCTGGGAAGGCTTAATACGCTTCGTAAAGCGTGGAAAGCTAAATTCAAGATAGTTAGGACCTCCGAGATTCTTTCCAGAATCGGCCCTGTAACTCACAAACTCAATCTACACCACGAGCTCAATAACGTACATTTTACCCTTCACGTCTCAAACTTGATAAAGTGTCTGTCCGACGAGACTCTTGTAATCCCACTCAACGAGATCGAGATCAACGAGCGCCTCAACTTCATGGAAGAACAAGTAGAGATCATGGACCGAGAGGTCAAGAAAACGAAACAAAGCTGTAACCCGATAGTGAAGCTCCACTGGAATGCCAAGCGAGGACTTGAATTCACTTATGAGCGCAAGAACCAATCGATTAGGAAGTTTCCCCACCTCATTGCTCGATTTTTCATACCTACTGCTTTACCTAAATTCTAATTTCGGAACGAAATTCCCTCTAACGGGGGGATGATGTGACAACCCGGAATTTTCCATCCAGTACAATCAAACACTTCAATTAAAAGTTAAATGCTTTTCTGCTAATTTTTAGCTAGTTTAAAGTCCGTTTAGTATTTTTAATTAATTATTCACGAGTCGGACGGATAAAAGAAGTGATTTCTAGTTAATCGGGAATGTAATGGAATGAGCAACACCTTGAGTTGGTGTTCACGGCCAAACTAAGAGTTTTGGGCCGTGAACTCTCTTAGGGCCAAAAACTCAAGCCTTAGGCATGAGTTTACTCTCCATTCTTTCATTTCCTCATTTCCAAAATCAAGAACCAAAGCCATTCTCTCTCAAGTAGCATACCGTTCTTCACCCGATTTTCCGAGAATGTAAGTATTATTTGACTTGATTTGTTGTTATAACCTATCTCCTAGTCATTATACATCATTTCATCCATTCAATTGTTGATTTTCATTAAATCTTCAAAACACCAAGAACACACACTAGTGTTCTTGGACCTTAAACACCCAATCGAGCTCCGATCCTGTAAGTACACTTGCTATAGCTTCTTGTATGATTAGTATGACCCTTATAACACTTGAAAATAATCAAGAAACCATAGAAAAAAGGAGTTTACGGCCAAGGATGATCTTGGGCCGTAAACCCCTTTCAAGGTGGTAAATTGGACCTTAGCTCCTTCCTATGCCTTGGATGCCAACCTTGATCCTTCCTAGAAGTGTTTAAGAATTTAAACAACAATAAAAACAGATCCCCATAGGAGTTTATGGCTGTAATCACCTAAGGAAAGGGTCATTTTTCCGTAAACTCCACAAGGTGGTCTTATTATGCCCTAATGCTTTCCTAAGGCTTGGACTTGATCATTTGATGCCCAAACATGACTTGTAAGACCTCAAAACACAATTTGGCACTTAGTACCATGAGTTTACGGCCCTAAACTCATGGGGAATCGGTCATGGGTCGTAAACTCCATAAAGGGGTGGTTCATGGGCCATAAACTCCAATGCCATGTCATACAACCCTTAGGTGCAACCCTTTCGTACCTGTAGCACTTGAATAAAGTGTTTCTATGACCTAGGGTGTCTTAACTTGATTAATTAGTTATTAATTAACTAACTAGATACATATATGTTTGATTATATGTTAACTAGGCTCATTGTGTGTGTCTAAGTCTTCACTTGACACCAAGCACTTGCCCGACACTTCCATCCGATCCGCTCACTACTGGTGAGTTCATACCCCTTAATTAACCTTTTTAAATGTTTTAAATGCTTTATGGGGGGATACAAGTTGAATCATGCTAATTATTATATCAATCACATGTGATTAATAACTAGTATGCTAATGGATTTACTATACTTTAACTGTTTTACCAAACATATTTCTTCAAATGACTTTCTTAAACATTTTTACTAGTTTAAAAACTCTTTATCAAACTGTCTTACATACTGAATGTTTCTTTTCAAAACTTTGTTACAATTGTGTTTCCAAAACAAAGGTTTCTTTATACTTTAAACTGTTCTTATCAAATAAACTGCTTTCAAACTGTTTTACAAACTGACATCAAGTCACCTTTTCTTAGTTCTTAAACTCGTCAAAGGTTTTACAAAATTTCTTTTATACTTTTATATTGTCAATTTCATGCCTAGATATGTATAGTTATATAAGAAATGTTTAAAGGACTTAGGAAGGCTAGCTCGCTTTATCTCCTTTTCTTCCTTGGGATGTGGCTTTAGGGCATCAGTCATCCGTCCGAAGGTTGTTTAAATATTAGTTATATATCATGTGTACATATATAGTCATAAAGGTTCTTCCAGTCAATTCAATACCCTTGGGTAGCAAGGGTATACTTCCATGTTCATACGTACAAGTCATATTACTAGTAAACTACAATAAGCGTAGTTTAGGGTTTTACTAATACTAATACTAGGACAATGAATCATACAAAGAGTCAG